TAACAACAGCTTTGTATCAAACAGATTTTGCACATATTTCTTTTTTTGTATAATCTATATCATAGTAAATATGGTTTTCATTTGTTTAAGTATAGGTCTCTCTGGGAAATGAGCTTTCTCCGTCTGCTACATCTTCTAAGCCAACCTTGAACTGGAATGCATCCCCGGAAGCACTGTACACCGTCATTATGGTCGGTAAGTTGTTTTAATAATATGAAAAGATTCCAAGAGTTTGCTAAGCCGTGCAACATCCTAATGTACCGAAAATTGCTTGCGTTTTTTCAACTAATAAAAGTCTCTAGTGGTGCGGCGTACAGTTTATCGGCCTGGTTCTATGTGACAGCCTATTCACAAGTCAAATGCGTCATTTATCAGATTTATTAAACTGTTTAGAGATGATGTATCGAATGGTCGTTATTTGTTCTTCAAGGGAAAGCAAGAAATAATGTTCTCTAACTTTAGCAAAATAATGTTTTCAAGGGAGACTTACAGACTATGGTACTCGTTAAAATTATTTTCAAAGTGTAACTAAGCTTGGTGGTTTAAAAGTATACTTTAAAATAAACCGTGGATCAAATTGCTCTTTTTAACGAAAACAAACAACCCAAACTCGCCAGGTTGGAGAGAATGCAATACTTTTTACTCTTTGATACTAAAATCAACATTTTATTTTTCCTAAGGCAGTAACCTCCCTTATGATATTTATGTCAGATCCTGACGCTCCATCTCGCAAAAGACCGTCGCTTCGTGATTATCTACACTGGGTGGTGATAGATGTTCCCGGAAGTCATGTAAAACAGGGCAAGGAACTTGTGTCCTATATGGGACCGGCCCCACCCTCAGGAACAGGTAATGTCCAGTTAAGGATTCTTTTCGTAGCAAAAATATTGCAGGTTTACACCGATATTACTTCCTCGTCTACAAACAGACAAAGTCGGTTTCGCTTGAGAAATCAGCCAGAGCAAAGTAAGCCCCTTGATCCTTCGATCTATCAATCCTGTGCAGTATCTGTAATTCTTTTGTAATTTTTTTGTAGTTTTAGCTTTGACACGCACAAATTTGTCAAGGAAAACGGTTTGGGCAATCCAGTAGCAGGAAACTATTTCCAGGTAGGCTCACTTTGAACTTTTTCCATAAAAAATGAAAGAGAATGAAAGCATTGCTTTATTGCAATATAACAGAAAAAAGCCTCCTTTCTATCATGTCGCTACAGTCTTGAATTATGAAATTAAAACGAAGCAAAACAAAGCAGCTTTCCCTCTTATTTTAGAATTGTCGCAAGCTTTTGACAAGAAATTCCAATAGCGCTTCTCACACGGAGAGCTGCCTCATATTCAGAAATCAGATTGAATAGCATGCAAAAATCTTCTTTTATTTTGCTCCAGAGCTTTGATCTTTCTGATTGCAAAACCGTAATTGGTTATGTTTCAGGCCAAGAATTAAAGCAATACTCCATTCACTTCAACGCTTCCTTCGATGTGAACACGCTACTCCATATGCCATTATTATTTTTTGTGTTTTGCCATTTCCAAAATGAAGTT